AATTTTAAAAAATCTTGAAAAATTTCAATAGTAAAAATTTTTAAATATAATCTTTAAAATTTTTATTCATAAAAGTTTATTAATATTTTAAAAAAGTTTTATAATAAAGTTTATAAAATATATTTTTAAGAATATATTTTATAAGCAAACTATATCTTATATTATTAATAAATTATTATTTTATTTAAAAAATACTAAATACAATTTAATTTTTTAGACAAATTTGCCTAAAATACAAGTTTAAGGAATAATATTCTTATAACTTACTTGAAACTATGTAAGCAATATTTAGATTACAAAATAATAGTAGAAATTGCAATTATTTTACTTTTCAGTTCATTCAAAAAATTTATTTTTACTCTATTACATGCCAATTTTATAATAGCAACAAATAGCAGTTTTAAAAATTCTGTTAATTATATATTTTAGCTAATTGTTTAAAGCATAGCAAAGAATACTTTGTTTTTACATCTGCTGTTGATCAATAGTATTATGTGCATTTTGTTTGTTCATTTCTGCATTTTTGATTGGCTGTCAATCATGCTTTGAACTTACAACAGTTTCTGTTTTTCTAGTTTTAAGTAATGCTTTATGTTTATTCATTTTAATACTAATATCATTATAATAATAAAGACCAATTTGAAATATTCTGTTAGCACTCTTCATATATTTTTTAATAGCATATAAACATTCTTTTCAACATTAATTCTATGTTCATACTCTTATTTGCTAATTTTTACAATTAGCAAAACTTGATTAAAATTGCTGATAAGTTGAACAATACTAATTATTTTGTTTATTTTTTAACTAATACTTTAGATAGTTTATAGAAAAAATTTTTAACAAGATTGTTACATTTATCTTAACTATTTATATAATACTAAGAACAAAACTATATTAAAAATTTTATATAGTATATAATTATATTGCAATTCAAATCATTTCAGTTTTTTTAATTTAGTCTGAGTATAAAGATAATAATAATTATTTGGTATCCTATTATAATAGAGCTTTCCAAATAACTAGCAGTTGTTTTTAATATAAAAAAAGAATAATTCTTATTATCTGAAACCTTACTATAAATATACCAACAAAATAACTCAAGTTATTTTGATAGTGATTGCATTATTATCAAATAATAAAGTTATTTAATGATAACTTAATCATTACTAAAAGAACTTAATTCATTCTTTTAGTTCAGTTATTATAAGATACTAGATAATACTATTATTAAAAGCTACTTAGCTAATAACTTGTTTATCTAATAGTAAATTTAATATATCATTTTTGAGTCTTTGTGTAATTCAGAAGCTAATATACAAAACTTAACAGCCAGATTATAAAATTATTTTACAAATATTTTTATTATTAGCTGCTTTGCATCTAATAACTCTAAATTAATTGTAGAATTAAAATCTGCAAAAAATAAAGATAAATACTATTTAACTAATTTTTAAATAATTTTATTCAATTTAATAAGAAACAAAACATAATTACACTTATCAATAAAAGATACATATATGATATATCTAAAGTCATTTGATCTTACAATAATGAACACTTTGTCATTTTATTAACAAGCTTCTTGTTTAATTTTACCAATTAAAAATAATTTTTATATTCTCTAAATAAAATTATTTAAAGAGTATAAACAGTAATAAATTAGTATTATTATAATTATTATACTTATTAACTAAATTAATATGAATAAAATAATTTAAAGATTATTATATAATGATAAATAAGTATTTATATTCATTATTTAAGATTTTAATTCACTAATTATAAATTATCTTTATACTTTCATATTAATTAAAAGTTCAAAAATAAAAAATTATTACAATATTTAGAAAATTGATTATAAAAAATTGTGATCATTTATAACTATCACAAATTAGATATAAATATTAGAATAAATGTTAATGTTACATCCTGTTATATAAATTATTTGTTACAGATTATATATAGATATAAAATTTGAAGATCATGTATATATGAATGTGTTCAAGTAACTTCTAATAGAACTTACATCATATCTTTTTTTTATTAATTCTTCATTTTTAATATTTGGTTCCTAACTGATTTTATGATGTGACAACATTCTTAACTGTTCTTAGGAGTAATATATACTATTACACTTTTATAGATTAATAAATTCAACATTGAGCAGATAGAAGCAACATTTAAATATGGTTGCTCAATCAACTAATGCTGAGGCCAGTACCTTTTATATGGCTAATTCTGAAACTGGTACTTCATATGCAGTTAATACAGAAGTTAGTATCTCTTATATAATTATGATTAATTAAGTAGCAAATATTAAAAGTAGCACTTCCTATATGTTTACTGCTGAAGCTATTACTTTTGATGCAGTAAATGCTAAATTCAGTACCTTCTACATAGTTAATGTTCAAACTAATAGCTTATATATAATTGATACTAAGACTAATGCCCTCAGCAAAAATGCATTTTATGATAAAGCAACTGCTGAGAAGATTAACAGTATAGGTATTAGTAATACTGTAGTATAAAGTTATGGTTTGTTATAGGTTTAGTTTTAATGTTTTAAGCTTGCAAACTTATTTTTTAGGTGTGATGCAACACAATTTTTCCTTACTAAAACTTGGTTTTATGTTCCTTTCATAGAATAATTTTGAAGCTTTTTAAAGCTTATAGCAGTATCATAGGTTTGCTGTTATTAAAATAAGGGTTGAACAGCATAACAATGGTATAATTAGACATTGATCTTTTGGATATGAGTTTGAAGAAAAATATGTACCTAAAAAGAGTATTAATATTAATGCTCACTGCAACTAACAATCAAAATGTAAAGAATGTGAATAGCATATTAATCTAAATTTTTCTAAAAAATCTAATTACATTATAGTTACAACATTTGTAAATACTTACAACCATAAACTTGATTCTGAAAAGTGTAAATACAATGCTAAGTTCAGGTTAATTGGTGATGAAGCATTGAACAACATTGAGTTTTATACAAAAAATGGAAATTTTTCAATTACTATACAGTATCAATTGCTAAGAGCAAAGTACTCTGATGCAACTTTTTTAGATATGGATCTTACTAACACTATTTAATATTATAAAGTTAAGTCTAAAGATCTTAAAAATGATGCCTTACAGCTTTTATTATATCTTACTGAGAAGCATTCAGAAGAGTTAGGTTGGAGTATTAAATTCAAGTTAGATAGTAATAACCACCTTACCCAGATTTCTGAATAACTCCTAAACAGATATCCCTTTGGCTAGAATATCATAATGTTATTTTAAATAATAATACATCTAAAACAAATTGATATCAGATGCCTTTGAGTTTGTTCCTTGCTGTCAATAATAATACAAGATCTTGTTTAGTTGCACAAGCATTAGTTTTGATGAAACTGTTAACTAATACCTATGGATTCTCCAGTGCACTATGAAAGCTACAAGTGTTGAGCCTATGGTCTTTGTAATAGATGCAGATCTAGCAATAGACAGTATGTTAAAACAAGTATATAAAAATACTTATTCATTACATTGTATTTTTCACATTAGCCAAAATCTTTCAAAGAATTTGAAGAGAATGTTAGGTAATGTGTATAATTAATTCAGTAAAGATTTTTACCTTTGCTGTAACACTTTGGATAAGATGCTATTTGAGTTCAGATGGAAAATTTTATTAGAAAAGTTTCAAGTTACCTGAATCAGACTCTTTATCCTAGTTATTACTCATAGGCTTGTGCCTTTATATTCAAAGTTTTTATAGCAGAAATTCAAACTACATTATGTATTGAAAGGTATGTTGTAAATTAATATGTTATATTTTGATTTGGTTAGAGTTAGAGTTAAATTTATAATTATAGATTTATATATTAGAGTTTGGGTTAAATGTAAGTATATAAATTGGGTTAGGATAATTTAAGATCATGTCAGATATTAGTTGAGATCAACTTGTCTGAGGTTCATTTTGTGTCTTAATATATGATTTAGATTGCTGCATTTTTACTCTAGAATGTTGACTAATATCTAACATGTTATACTAAATTCTATTTATACTATAGATATAACAATATTATTAAAAGAGTATTACATAGTAATGGTGGTTTATGTTATTTAGTAAAGACTTTAAATTTACAATTAGAAAAAGAGGCTGAGTGAAACCTTTTTTTTAAGTATCAGACTCTGTTATTATGTGTTGAAATTGCATCTGTTAGTAGTGAAATATTGTCTGCTGTTGACCATATACTCTTAGAATACTTGACCCTACAAATTCTTTCTATTGAGTATATTGAAATGGCGCAGTGTTTATATTTTAATGTGACATTAGATAACTTAACAGTAATTGGATTAGATAATGAGAATAAAAATATAAGTAATTGATTTGCAGAAAATGTTTATAATGCGAAGCAGATTTTACTTAAGTCAATAATATCAAAAGTGAATCAAATTAATATCAAAGAAACCTGGCAAATTACTAATAAACAATCTGGAAACAGCCAAAGAAAACACTTCATTATTGTTCTTGATTTATTTCTTATATGTGTACATGTATATCAAATATATTCTGTGGTATTCTATATTAACATTACTTTCAAGTAATGTTAGTATCACAAATTTCTGAATTTCATATTGGAATGATAGCATCACATTGGTATTGTGATAGTAAGAAAAAGGAAATTAATCAGAAAAATATAATTTTCACAAATTCAGATGCTAATGAAGTTCAAAAAGGTCAAAAAACATCTTTGATTCCTTAATCTTTTACAGTTCTTTATTCAATAGCAATAAGCAACTGAAATGCAGCAACTAGAAATTCTAAATTTGGTAAAATTTGGAGTCTTGCATGGTACACTGTATAATTGGCTATAGAATATGATAATAATAATATAAAACTATAATTGAAATGCTTTATTAATTGAAAGAAGAGTCTTTTAATACAAAATAAAGAGTCTAAAGACAGTGATAACAGCAAAGATAGCAAAAAAGAAAATAATTATGCAATCAAAAATCCAGTGATTACCAAGCATAAGGGCAGGCCTGCAACCAAAAGGTTCAAGGCTGCAACAGAAAAGCCTCATTGTTAGACATATATATGTTAAAGCTGTAGTAAGACTGGGTACAATAGTGTGAGATGTTAAAAAAAAGTTAGTTAATTTAATGTTAGTGGGTTATTGGGAGGTTTGTCGATTATTATTTGATATGTTATTTGATGTGCAGTTGTTGTTTAATGTGTGATTGTTATTTAATAATTATTGATATGAAATTGTTATTAATGCATTATTGTTGTATTATGTGTAATTGCTGTATAATTGCTATGCTATATTATTAATAAACTGCATCTAAGCAATTCTATATTATAGTTTATTAGAATAGATAGATGTGAAATTCAATATCATATACAATTGATAAGATGTCTAATTAAATAAATATGTGCTATAGAAAAATTGGCTATCATATGTATATAATGTATATACTATTATAGTTTTATATGTCTATTCTAATTTATATTATTTTGCTATTTACTTGGGTCTGATCAAATAATGTACAAAGGTGTTATTTTGATTTTTGGCCCAAATTAAGCTTAATTCAAGCCAAATTTTGAAATTATACTACTGCATGTTAATTCAAAAAAATATAGTAAGACTGATTGCATTGTAGTTTTGAATTGCAAGTATATACTAATATAGTACTGTTTCAAATTCTAGATTTTAATTTATACTTTAAATTTTTTATTATAATTAATAAAATTTAAATTTTATATATAAAGTCATGTAAAAACAGAAACTCTTTCTGCAAATCTATTACACAAAAATTAATTAAAAAATTCATTCATCAAAAATGCTTATAACTATTATTTTACTAAGACAACCTGTCCTGATGTCTTAAGTAAACTTGTTCAGCATCGTATTTTACATTTATCCTGAAAATGTTATATCTCTAGAGTTTAAACTTACTGAGAAAAGTGTACTGATGGCCTTTGGCTTCAAGTTTCAATAATTTTATATTTTCACAATATTTGCTGCTATAATCTGCCTTATACTCTTAATTAAAGTTGTAGTACACATTTGCCTGGTTAAAACAAGCTCTAAATGAAAAGGTTTGACCCAATATTGGCCAAACTACAGTTAAATTATCTTTTATTCACTTGAAAAATTTTTGCCTACCTTTTGTCACTACCCTATTCTCTTTTTCTCTTATACAGATTTTGTGTAATCATTTGATCATTTCCCAATCTATAATTTATTAATTTATACAAAAATTCTGTAACCTATCTATTAATAGAATCTCATTGAACACAATTCTCTATTTCTATATTTAGTTCTTACTAATATTATATAATAATCTGTACTTCAAATTCTATTTATGTTTAGTACCTGAGTCATATTGTGACCCTAGTCACATTAGCTACACCTGTGTACTATTCTAGTGACACCTCAATATTACAACCCTTGTCTTCAATTACTACCCTTGTAACATTATCTATAATCATACTATTAATTTAGAAAAATTTCTAAGTCTTTAATCAATCTTTATTTAAGTTATTATTATTCAACAATGCCTACTTTAAGTCAACAAGAACCTGATACAACAGATCTTGATTATTTTTACCAAAATTTTTCCAATAGTTTTGGTATTACTCTTTATGAAGAAGAAAATAATAGCAAGACCCACCCAATTCTTCTCAAAGTCCAATCTACTACTTGCTTAACAAAAAACCTCAGATCTAATAAAATTACTCATTTCTTTCAAGCTCCTACTTCTATTTCTATCATTACTTGTCTTTGTGGCAAATATCATACCAAATTCATCTCAACCTTAAACATCAACTATACTCAAGCTACTGAATTTACAACTGTTCATATTTATAGCAACTCAAAAAAGATTAACAGAACAATTCAACAACTCATAACTAACCTCTCTTTCTCTACTGATAGCGTTTCTCCATCTCCTACACCAGACATTCATTACCATACTTGTCCTAAATGCTCTCTTCCAATTAGTTGTACTATAAGAAATGAGCATCATTATCCTACTAAAAAATATATCTCCAAAAATAATAAAGTTTATCATTTTGCCTGTATAACTGCTTCATCTCAATATGAAGCTAGTTCATTCCAAACAAAGAAAAATCTTACTCAAACCTTCCAAAATATTTTATATGATTCTTCTCAAACTACCAATCTTCTTACTGCCTCTTCTTACCAAAACTTAACCTCTTCTGACCTTATTGATTCATTCTTTTCTTCAACTACCAATACTAATCCTATCTATAACTAACCTCTTACTACTAACATTCTTAATATTTCTAATTCAAATCTCAACAATTCTAGCAATACCAACCAACTGAAAAATACTCTTAACAAACCTCCTCTCCAATCTTATTTAAGTATTCTTAAACCAAAATCTAATCCCACATATGACTGAGTTGCAAATTTTCTAATTACTAAAAAAATACAACCTAACAAGAAATTGCAAACTTCATTTCCTTTCCAACTTTTTATATTCCTTAAAAAATTCCTTTATGACTTCT